ATCTATCTATATATATATCTATCTATATATATATATATCTATATATATATCTATATATATATCTATCTATATCTATCTATCTATCTATCTATATATCTATCTATATATCTATATATCTATATATCTATATATATATCTATATATACATATATCTATCTATATATCTCTATATCTATATATCTATATATCTATCTATCTATCTATATATATATATCTATATATATATCTATATATATATCTATATATACATATATCTATCTATATATCTATCTATATATCTATCTATCTATATATCTATCTATCTATCTATCTATATCTATATATCTATATATCTATATATCTATATATCTACACAGTAAAAACAAATTGGTTAAAATGACCAATTTAAATTGGTTGCAACCAATTTAAATTGGTCATTTTAACCAATTGAAGAATAGGTTAGTCTGACATGACCAATTAAATATTGGTCATTTCGACCAATACATAATTGGTTGAATTTTTAACCAATTTAAAATGGTAAATTTAACCAATTTCTTTTGATCAGTCAATGTTGAATTTCCCAAAATAACCAATAAAAATTGGTCATATCCCCAACCAATTTAAAGTTGGTCATATGCATAACCAATTTAAATTGGTCATCTCTATAACCAATTTTAAATTGGTCGAATCATAACCAATTTTTAATTGGTCAAATCCCGTAACCAATTGTAAATTGGTTAAATGGGTAACCAATTATTAATTGGTCAATTCCCATAACCAATTGGAAATTGGTCAAATGCATAACCAATTTTTTAATTGGTCAAATCCATAACCAATTCGAAATTGGTCAAATCAGTAACCCATTCTAAATTGGTCAAATCTGATCTGGCAGTGTTTTCTGTTATCCAATTCTACATGTAATTTATTTCTGTAATGCATCCATAGCTTTGTTGGCCTTTGTTGTTTTACTCAGTCAAACACTAGATTTTACTCGTAAAGAGGGGAGACCTTTAGTCAATACACCACAGACACAGTGTCAGTGACAGTGGCTAAACTTTGATATTGATTTTATATTTCAATTGTATTTATTTAGTTTACCTGGTCAAAATTTTGCCGCCCGAGTTAATTTTAAATTCTTCATGAGTTCATGGAAACTCTATTTACACAAAATATTTATAGTGTTTGTCATGTGACATATAAACATGCAAGCGAAAATTCTCACGATCGACGAGCGCGGTTTCGCACGGACAGGCTGGGACCTAGTTTTCCGACAACACGCGCAAAGCCTCCCGGGATAGCGTCATCACACTGACGCCGCCATATTTATTCGAAATTTTTATTATTCATTTTGATTTTTTGTTGCCTGTAAAAATGAGTATTTGAAGGCAAGACGATGCCTTTTAACGAGGATAAAACATCATGGATGATTGCCTAGCATACAGGTAAGAATATTGTTATGTTTTCTATATAATAGAGCAATTTTGAAACGAAATATTTGCAATCTTCATTCGTGAATTTTGAACCATGTGTTCCGGCTTAAAATTTGAATTTGCCGCGACAATATTTGAATTAAAACGATAATATAAATACATTAGTTTTTACAAAGGCTTGCATTTGACTCAGCCCTAGTTTATATATCGAATAATATGACAGATAATTTGTAACAATGTTTCTTGTCTAGAATAATATAGCTTTATAATTAGCATCATTCTACATTTCTACTCAATCCTCATATCATGTGCCCACTTAAATTAAGCACGTCCCAGCTAAACATGGCTTGAGAGAATTTATTGACTTTAATAATATCAACTGCTACTTTCATAAGTTTCAAATGTTTATTCATATATATATATATATATATATATATATATATATATATATATATATATATATATATATATATATATATATATATATATAAATAAATATATATATATATAGGATATAACCTGGTACAACCCGATACAACAAGGATTACACTGTAAAAACTGATTGGTCGAAATGACCAATTTTTTAGGTTGCAACCATTAGCAATTGGTCATTTTGACCAATTGTTTAATTAGTTTGTCGCATTTGACCAATTAAATTTGTTTCCTTTGACTATTACAAATTGGTCGAAAATATTGGTCATCTTTCGACCAATTTATATAAGTTATTATAACCAACTTTTTATTGGTCATTTAGTTGAATGTTCACTGTTAATTTCAAGGAGTTAAATTTACTCGGCCTACGTCTTCGATATATGCATTCGAACATATACTCCACTGAGGGTCAATTTAACTCCACTTAAAGGAGCAAAATATAACGAGTAAATTTTACTCACAAACAGAATAACGGAGTAAATTTTACTCATAATGAAAATAACCGAGTAAATTTTACTTCATATTTTTTACTTCACAATTAATCGTATAGTAGGAGTAAAAATATCGAGTAATATTCCGCCTAGTTTTTACTCGGCCTATGTAATATAACTCTACCATTACACATAGGAATCCATAGGAATGCCGGAAACTATATTGAAGTTTCTTGAACCTTGAATTAGGGCGATACTTGCTATACAAATTCGTATAGTGAAAGCCTGCAGTTCGTGTAAAATCATCCGACAAAGACACAAGATCTACACTGTAAAAACTGATTGGTCGAAATGACCAAAAAAAATTGGTCACCTGGATGCATCTGAGAAAACCAATAAAAAATGGTCGTTTTAACCAGTAAAATTAACCATTAATTAATTGGTCATTTCAACCAATAATAATTGGTTAATATAACCAAATATTTTTGGTTGTTTTGACAAATTAATAAAATGGTTAATTTTATTGGTTAAAACGACCATTTTTAATTGGTTCTCTCAGATGCATCCAGGTGACCAATTTTATTTGGTCATTTCGACCAATTATTTTTGGTCTTTTCGACCAATTTAATGTCACAACCTATACACTGCATTAAAATGAAGAAAAATTTGTGAGTCTTACATCACTGAACATGTATACATGGAATTAAATAAAAAATATATCATTACAATATAATAAGACAATTAAATAAACTACAGCTACCGGTACCTTAGAACTATGTGAGAGCAATTGCAAAGGAATACAATTACAA